GGTCCTCAATTCCCAGTTCACTGATGAAGAATTGCGAAGTCAGGGGCGTTGCCCACTGACTCCAGAAGAGATAGGATTGCTCCTAGCAGCCCTGGGTTTTGACAACTGTACTCGCCTTTATCTTGCCTCTCACAAGGTATTTAGACTGACAACTGAGTTTAATAAATACAAGCTGTATGCTTCTGTTTCCTGCAATAACTTCGACTGACTGAATGACTATGTTTCTTAGGTGTATGGAGGGGAAGCTAGAATTTCAACTTTAAGAAAATTGTTTCCACTAATGGAGGACAAAAAGAGCCTTGCCTCTTCGGAGGAACGTGCCCGCATCAAAGGAAAAGCTTCTTTGCTAGCTGCAGTTGACTACTATGTTGGCATGCACAGTGATATCTTTGTCTCTGCTTCTCCAGGAAATATGCACAATGCATTGGTAAGTACCTTAGGCTGATAGTTTTGAACCTTGAAATGCATCTAGAGGATCGTAGTAATATCTTACTAACAGGTTAAATTCTTCTTTGGCTATATATTAATTTTGCTTCAGTTGGTTGAGCCTTAAATTATTGAGGTTCAACTCTATTGAATTGAAACTTTTATGATGATTTATGCTGGCTGCAGGCAACATTTGGTTTGTGCTGCCAGTGAGAAGATGGGATTTGAAAATCATATAGCAACAAGAAAAAAATTTTCATCTGACTTTCATCAAAATTATTTAGGATTTGTGGCTTGGAGAATAAAAGACTAAAGATGAACTGACGTAACTTAGAATGTTGAAAAACAATTTATTCACCTTTATGGCCTTTTCTTGGTGATGGGACAAAGGGAACGATATAGGCTATTGAAGTAACTCATTATTGCTAATAAAAGTGCCTCTGATGAGACGATGTATATGCATTTGTTTGCATGCCTAAAACGGTTGTGATTTCAACAGGTGGGACATCGAACTTACGAAAACTTGAAGACAATAAGGCCAAATATGGCCTTATCGGGGCAACTCTTCCTGAACAAAAGCATTACTTGGAGCGAGTTTCAGCGAGCAGTTGTTGAAGGGCATGAAAGTAGACAAGGGCTGATCAGGTTAAGGAAGCCAAAACAATCCCTTTACACGTATCCTGCTCCGGATTGCATGTGCGGTGTTTAAGGGATTGCATGTGCAGTGTTTAAGACGACTATAATATACTTAGATTCAGAGCATATGAGATTAGTTTTCAATTGATTGTGTGCACGTGTTTGCGGTTGATAATACGATACTATAATAAATAAACGGCAATCCCATGTCTCCATTGTTGTAACAATTTCTGTAGCATTGTTAGTGTATTGAAGCAGAGTGGAAGTACGGATGGAGAATATGAGATTGATTTGTCAAAAATATCTCAAGATTTATGCGACTGCATTTTTATTTGTTAGACAGAAGGCATTGTTGTCACGTATACTCATAGTTTGATAATTGTACTTCTTCCATTTTTATTTATGGAATGCAACGTCTGTGTATAGGAGGATGGAATTAACAATTTGGGTGGTGAAGGTTAAAATTTAAAATTGAATATAAATTGTATGCGATGATTATATATAGTTTCAATCAGCTCTTAGTTTCCACTCAGATAGGAAAATATGACCAACTCTTCATAATAGTTTAGAATTTGGGGTAATTCTTAGAATTCACTGAACTTTCTGGTCAAAAAACAACCACGAGTCTGATTTTGAGAAAAATTATATCTAGAGATGGCAGGTCTAATTAAATATGGTTTCTTCATATGCTAGGCCTAATAAAATTGCACTGACCAAAAATGTTGAACAGAGAAACTTTTCTTTTTTCTCTATGGAAGATACAGAGACTAAACTGCTCAAGAACATGTGTAGATCAGTTACATATAATACTAGCCTTGAGGCCTTGGATCTGCTGTAACAATTTACCAAGCAGCAATTCAGAGCTAAAAAAAGTGCTTGCTGTGCTGCTGCCTGACTATGAGAAGAGAATGAGAAACTAGACTTCAATTTGATGTCAAGTAAAAATTAGCAATTCACAACAGAGAGGTTCGTGTGCAGATAACCGAAGCTGATCTCACTGGTCGTTAGGAGTTGCCTTAAGTATACCTTCTTTTTATCCTTCTCAGCCGTAGAGACCATTTCCATTT